AAAAATGCAAAAGAGAATGCATAACAATTCCAATAAACACCGGCCTTAATGAGAAGCGGCTCTGACTTTAGAAAAGCGCCTGTTCCACCTTAATCGTACTTTGTAGAAAAGTTTTATAAAATTATGGAAAAGTTTCTCTCTCTCGCGCGACCGTAATTATCACCTGAGGACGAAGGCGTCGCCACTAACAACACGATAAATTCATTTTCTTTTCTTCTTTTTAGGCAGAGTCATAATCCATTTTTTCATATCAAATGTCATAATATTTGAACGTGTGTGCAATTTTCTCTAATTATATATATATATATCGATATTCTTAAAAAATTCGATATTTCTCTTTTTACCTTTATCTATCTCCATAGCTACTTTTTTTCAGGAAAAATTGTACCAGATAAGGAATGAGAGAAGAGTGCACACGTGCAATCGTCACTGGTCAGTAAATTGGTATAACTTTTTTCATCATCATCTTTTTGTAGTTTAGAAATCGATAAGTTCGAACATATACACGTAAGATTTATTTTCATTTTCCAAGAGATTCTTCTTATATTTTCGAACGTAACGCGGAATATAGGATCGTGGAAAATAGGGGCAATTTAAAAGTTAAATCGCGCCATTGGACGCCAGCGGGGAAAAAACTTCGCGAACACACAAATACACACACACACACACACACTTACACGTATGGCATTTATTTATAACGTATTCTATGCAGTCACCTCTGTGTTTCGTTGTAAAACCGCAACATCTCGCGCGATGCATATACAGTGAAGCACTTTAGAAAGAGAGAGGGGTCGAAGAAGTCATCTCGTAAGTTTCATAAAAGTTTACAGTGGGCGACAAACTTTTGACAAGAGCATCGTACGTTGCATCTCCTTCATTTCACTCTTATTCAATTTTCCGTGGACGAAACGATTATTACAATACGATTATACAAATTCTATTTGCACGTGATTTATACTAGATTCAGTCTATAAAAAAAAATTCTAATTAAACACTATTTTTTTATTCGACAAAGGATAAGGACATCACAAAATATTTTTACAAATAGAAAAATTTCTCTACATAGACACGGGATATAGTTGGGGCTTACACACCGCTTTTTCTTTAAATCTTTCAGGTATCGCGCAGAAGGCCTAGTAATAACGTCGACATTTCGGAAAGAGGATAACAAAAAAAAAAAAAGCCGTGACCGGAATAGAATTTTGAAATATGGGACCTATTTTATCGCGAACACTGATATAAAAAAAAAAAGAAGCATGTCCCCTTGTTGCCCATGAAATATTTGCCGTCGTGGGTTCAGCGTGTACGGCCGATAAAACAAAATCCGATTAAATGCTTTGTTTTCGTCACGCTTTTTCCCGCACTACGACGACGCTGGTCGCGCTTGTGTCCTAATTGATTTGCCGAGTAATGGATCAGAGCCCGCATGTTACGAGCAAGCATCAGGGCGCCGATCAGTAGTGTAATACGACACTTCTGTGTACAATCGAGCAATATATTTCACACTATATTTATCAGCGATCTTATTAACGCGCTAACTCGAAATGTCTATCAGTCCGATGGATGAGATCTTAGGAAATTCAGTCGCTCTCTTATTTTTACCGAAAACGAAATGATTGATTGATTTCACGAAACCTTTTAACTCTTCTGTCAATAAACGAATATCCAGGCAACGTTAAAAATCCATCGAAAATCTTCTTTGCCCGAAATAAAATGTATATACAAAAATTAGAGTGAGGCCACTAAAAGAAAATTGGGTTGGTTGATCTTCGAGAATGACCCAAAAATAATCTTAGTAAAAATTCAAGATTATGTTAACTTTTTCTCCCTCGAAACTTTTGTAGAAAATATTTTCCCATAACATTTCTATTTCAGCAATATTCGACTGTATTAATTAAAATGAAACCCCTGTGTATATATGTATGACTGTATGTAAATTAGATTGAAAAGTTGCAAAAAATGTTAGTAGATTTGCATCGCGTTATAATATTTTTATGCAATGTAAGATGTTTTAAATTTTATGAAAAAATATTAAAAATAACGAATGTAAATATAAATACATATTAATGTATCGATTTTCCCGGCCGATTCAGAAAGACTTATTTATTTGTTAATTTTATTGCCTACGAATTTAAAAATTAATGAATTAATGCATCTGCACTATACAAGCAATGATACTAATACTGGACGATATCAGTTGTGAGCATGTCAGTTACACATTAATTCCTTCGCGATCCTTTCGCACGTGGCGGATTAAAAGCTGATATATGCGAATGCTCCGCGGATTATTTTGCATCGCATTGATATGTCGTACAGACAAACTAAGCATCTGGTAATATATTGCACTCTATCCAGTTACTATTATATCAGTATTACGGCTAAAACAAAAGGGTTGTTGAGGGACGAACTTGCTACAGAGCGTTTAAAAACTTTTCTAATTGCGTGCCGCGAGATGAAAGTCCGACGGTATTTCATTAGCATCGGCTTCCCTTTTATCAGAACTGCTTGATTATGTTAAGCCTAGCATCGGGTTGGTCGTGCACGCTCGAGGCATGCACTCATGGACTTGACCAACTTAAGGGTTAGTCTTCGTCCAAGATGAAGAGTAATAGACAGAGGGGTTGGCTACGTACGAGGTACTAGAGATAGTGAAGTGTAATACCGTGCATGGAGAGAGTATAATAACATTATACCGCTAACTAACTTCTCGCCCGACGAACTGCCTACTATATCAACCTTGCATCCTTAGTCGTTTAACATGAAGCCAGTGAAAGTTTTCACATCAACAAGTAGATAGAAATGCATAATTCATAGAATTATGGATAAGAAATAATTAATACGTTTTGGCTTATATTAATAATGCTCGGTAATTGGGACCAATTTTATTTGAAAATATACTGTAGGAAATTTCAACGCAGTTGACAAATTTGTTTTTCTTGTGAAAATTTTTGTGTTAACTATTTAAATTTAACACATTCATATATTAATTTAACTTAATTGATTAAAAACAAGATTTAATCCGTTAAAATTTACAGAAAGAAGTGTTGATTTTCTATTTTACATAAGTGGGGATTGTTACACAAAATTTATTTTAAATTACTTGAAGTTTTGCATTTATTTTATGTTAAAAATATTAACACAGTTCGCGTGTCTCCATTTAACATATTATGTTAAATTAACACAAAAATTTTTGTGGACTGTTTAGGACATGCGATCAAATTTAAGACAAATTTGTCAACTATAAATATTCCAAACTATATTTCACGTAAAGTTTGATTAATTTTCCGGCTATAATATATTCTATGAAAAAAAAACTATATTGCCGGAGTCGATGACAAGGGTAATTTTCAAGTTGCAATAATGCAGTGTCTTTCCGAGATGGAATCGTCGAGAGAGAAAAGAGACAATGCGTAGCAGGTTGATAGAATCTGGTGAATCGGTAATCAGAGAGGAACGACGATAGCGCGATCGAACGCGTCCTTTATTTGCGACAACGCCGTGTTTGATGCGTTCGGTTAAACGATCTCGGCAAGACGCCTCGCGGGAGCAATCAAAGTGTAATAGAATGTTCTCTCTATAAATTGTGCGCGTATATCCTGCACATGTTGGCCTGATTCCCCACATAATGTCACGTCGCATAATATCAGTTCGAGCGAATAAAAAGTCGCTACGTCACGGTGTCGCTTCTAAGCATAAAAGCTTCATTAATTCATAAACGCATTTTTATGCAAAAATATCAGAATTTATATTATTATTCAAAATATTATATTAATTTTATATACCTATATAATATTATATACATATATAACTTTATGGAAAATGTTTAAATAATCGCGTTACGTATTTGCAAGATTTATAAATACAAGACAAGGTTCTACAAAAGAATTGAAATTTCGTTAATTAAATTAATTGAACAATTTAGCTTCTCAACGTATAGCTTGGATATCCTGTTGATATATTTATTTACAGCCGTCTATCGATCATTTTACTCGTAACGAAATCGGGCTTGTTAATATGGTTCGAAATAATAATTTCACAGCTAATCCGTACTAATCGGCCTTTAATCGTATACCTTCGATCCAGTTTGATTGAAAGTTTTATATATGTTTTATTCAAAACCCTGACTCTGCCTGCGCTTGGCACCAGCAACTCGCTCGTTCATCATGTGTCGGACCATTATAATCGAGCATTTTCGAGGGTGATTAAATTGTCAACAGTTCACCTGATACCTCGCCACATCCTTTCCTCAACCTCAATATCGTTCAGCCTCGATATTGCTAATTTCCCGTAGATTTTTCAAGCACCACTATTATTTGGAACATTGTGGAAACTGTCAAGTACGTGAAAAGCGAAATAACCGAACGGGGCTAAAACGAGATAAAGCGGATACACATTTGAAATATAGAGAGCGAGGCGAAGAGAGAGAGAGAGAGAGTACGTCAGAAAAAGAAAAAGTATACGAAATTATTTTATATCGATGGATCGCGCTTGATTGGAAAATTCGATAAAAAAGAAAGAAATAAAGAAAAAGTAAACCGAACAAAATCAAACACCGCGCTGTCCGAAATTCTGCTTGAGATTCACGAATACCGTATCATATCTATCTATAACCAATTAGGTCACAGAAAGCCGCCGCGAATGTTGACCGTCGACTGCCGGAGAGCTTTTAATGAAAGCCTTTCAAAATTCACGAGACGTATCCTTTATCGACGATCGTTCTTTATCGAAGCAATTAGAGTAACCTGCGGTTTGCATAAACCGTCCATCCAGTCAGTCCTCGACCAAAAATTATTAACGGAATGTTAATTGGCTATATTTAAGCCATATTGTGTTTTCCATTACATCGCGTTCAGGAATAGGCGATGCATAAAACAAAGGATATGAATTAAAACACGAAAACTCCTCTATGGTACTAATTAACGTATCGTGTATCGGTTATCGCATTACTTAAGATTCTCTCGCGGTATCTAGATAATTGCGTCGTCTATAGATAGCCTTACCTGATGCCACCACGAGTCGTGTCGTAATTCAACGTACGAGATCCGTGTCGCCACGTGACATAGCCGGTGGGTTGCGGTATATTGCTGACTACACACTTCAGCTCTATTGTGCTACCTGCTTTGTAGAACTTGTCGGCGGCCGTAGCACCATGCTCGTCGACTATTTCCACCCTCGGCACTGCACAAAAATCAATTGATATCGTTAGTTTCATGATACATCGAAAAAAAGATTGTGGTACACAAATACAAATGCAAGAGAAAATATTACGTACTGACAAAAGAGTCGATCGTGTATAGAATTGTATATATAATCGATGCTCTGTATTAATTCAACGCAAAATTAAATCTAACAATTTATATATATTGAAATATACACTTGAAATTATATACTGAATTTAAGATAGAGCGCAATTAGAGACAGAGAGAACAATCTTGTTTTCAAATACTATTATATTTAAATTGAGAAATTAATTATTTATTAAATATTACAATTTCAATAGATTTTTCAATGTACAGAAATGATTAAATTTAATTTTTTTTTTTTTTTTTTTTTTTTTAATAAATATCGATTACAGACGAATACAATCAAGGCTTTTGTCAATGCATAATGTCATTCAATTTTTACAAGACGAATTAGAATATAAAGACATTTTATACGTCAAAATGATGATGAGAAAAATTAACAATATCGAGGAATGACAATGTTAGTTTAGGATTAAAGTTACTTCGTTCATCGACAGAAGGTTTAAGAATTGCAAAACTTCTTTAGATCGAATCTAATAAAATTGTCATAAGAGTGCTTTTTATCTCTAAGCAACGCGCATTCCGGCGAATCGATGGAAATAAATGTAAATCATAGATCGAGCGATCTCGCTAAGTGCTCGATCCGAGATCAAAGTGGCATGGTACGTCATTGGACGTGCGAGCAAATGAGGCTTCGGGATCGAATAGAGGCAAGCATTAGTTGCGGTTTCCGAAGCGAAGTCAAGCTTAATTACTATCGTAAAGCAACGGAAAATCGTTGCTTTTTCCTTTTAGTGGCCCGTCGCTCGTTTCTCGATCACGTAACGTTCAATTGAGAGCTGCGAAAGTTTTACCTCGTTTAAGAATTTTCGTATTCCATGCGAGATCTCTATTCTCGATTGTGAAGTAAGTGAAATGAAAAGCGAGTAATCGTTTCGTAATAATTTTTATATACATATAACGTCTAGAGCCATTTAAGAGCACGAATTGTTTTCGCTCTCGAATATCGTACAGTCGGATCTCCTTGCTCAGCAACTTTCCTCTAAATAGGTAACATGCAATATAGATGATAAGTACACGATTAATTGTACCTATCGTCTTAAGTGTGGCGTTACAAAGATAAGAGCTGCAGTGAGCAAACGGCGCGGCGCGTGACCTATCTACAATCAACAATAAACAACATAGCCGAACCAACACAGCGATTCTCACCTCGATGCAAACAAGGGGGAAAATTAGTAGAGAGCAACTTGCGAGAGAAAGAGACCGGGAGAAAAATAAAGAATCCAGAATGGAGAGAGGAATTTTTCGAACTTGTTTAGACCATCAACGAGTTTTTTAATGGAAATCGTAAGGTGACAGCGCCAAGTAATAAGATGGAATACTGTCTCATTACGTTTCACGCGCGCGAGGATAGCAGTGTCGCATTGCGAGACGCAGAAAGTGAAATAAAAGAAGAAAAATACGATGAAAATAGAGGAGGAAGAAGAACTACAATTGCCGGGTGAAGAACGAGAGCGCGGGAACCAACTATAAATACCACGGGCGAACAATCGGGCAGGATAGAAAGAAGCCTTTGCTTGGTGGCGCCAGCTAATCAAAGCCTTGGCGGACCGATTTCCTCGCGTCCTGCCCTTTCCCTTTCCTTTATTTTCCCGCGCTGGCGAACCGGCCAAACAATGCCTGACAGCGGCAAACTTTTGCAACGTCCATTTAGAAAAAAAAAAAAAAAGAAAAACTCCATTTGCACCCAAATGAAGGTAACCGACTGCTCGGTCTCCTGCCTGCATCTCTTGTGGGGGCATCTCTCTTTTCTTCTCCACGCTACAATTCAACGCTTCGCTTCCCGACCCCTGTCGTCGTCGCTATTCAATCTGTATCGCGACCGACAATGTTCGTCGTGTCGTCGTTATAGGACAAACCCGGCCCGCAGCCAACGCATCTACGTGTTAACTATCTGTTATTGTGTCGCCATGTCATTACTGACCGCTTTCCTATCGCTTTTCCCCAGTATGAAACTCGGAACAACGTCCACTGGGAACAGGGAAAAAAAAAACAACAACCCGTTAGAGTGGATCGAAACACAACCACTGGGCTTACAAAAAGCTTAGCGAGAAATTTTATTTTTTTTTTCCTCTCTCTTTCTCTCTTTTTATTTTTTTTTTTTTTTTTTTTGGATGACGGAGTCGTTTGGCTCCGACTCGCGCGTTCCGATTTATCCATTTTTGCTTCTTTATTTTATCGAGTTACCGGTTTGTGTCTCTCTCACTCTCTCGCCCCTTGCGGTCGGTATACTTCGGATACATCCTTTGAGGCTGTGACTTGTAGCGCACGTCCTTTGAGAGTTGCTTTCTTTTGCGTGCGACGTCGCCGTGTACCCTCGCTCTTTGCTCTTTCTCCGCGTTGTTTTTATGCGATGTACAAAGAGATATTCGTGGCGAATTCTCTTTCGCTACTTTTAACCCCAGCCCACGTACCATGTCAATATATAAAAGCGAAAAGAAGAAATCCGTCAAAGCGCAAGAAATATTTGAATACCTTCAGTTTTTATATACACAAACATATATATATATATATATATATATATGTACTCTCGATATTTTTTAACGACCGCAATCTCCCTCTCTTGCCACTTTGTGCATATGCTTTGTTTAAAAAAAAAAAGGATAATTACATCGCCAACAGTAAGTGTATTCTGTGGAAAATATGCGTCGGCGTGTAAAAGTTTTGTAGTTTAAGCCATATAATTGCGAGTCTGTGTTTAACTAGAAGGTTGATATAAACCGCGAGACTTGAATGTAAAAAATGAACATATTATAAACAAATAGAAAATGTTGCCGTATATATTTGTTCGCGGTTACGGAGAGAACTCTGTTTTCGCGGATGTAATTACTGCATTCGTTTCACGGCACTTTAACGTAGAACTAAATTCGAATTTTTATTCACGGAATGAGCATATAACTAGTGATAAAAATGAGATTGTGTATTTTTCACTTATTATTAAATATTATAAATAGATATTGAATATTATATGTTAAATATTATACTATATTACAATATTAAATATTACATATTTAAAAGGATATTCTCGAAATACTTTATGAAAAGAATGATTAAATATTATAACATTTTATAAATAATATAAAATTTTCGATATAAAAATAATTTACATCGTTTTAAGAAAATATTTTCAGATATACCATATAACAGATGTGTGTCAAATTTTTTACTTAAATATTACATAAAGGATATTCTCGAAATACTTTATGAAAAGAATTATTAAATATTATAATACTATATAAATAATATAAAACTTTCGATATGAAAATAATTCACATCGTATTAAGAAAATATTTGATCGAATATATAATAGGTGTGTGTTAAATTTTTTTAATAAAGTATTTCGAATAGCTTTTTTAGCACACTCAATAAATATTATATATAAGTAGGCGGTATCAATATTCTAAATTATATAAATACAAAATCAGGTATGAGAAGGGATAATAAGATCGAGATGCAGATATTAGACGCGACAAACTTGTTCTTACTTATTTGTGTTTTTCCAATTATTTTGCAAACTAAATTTAATGTTGTATTTATATATATAAATCTCTTCAATTTATTATTATAGTTTAAAATTATATATATTTTTGGTTATACATATTTAATACTATTAAACATCATATGAAGCTATTTTCAAAGTTTATTTTATGAAAAAATTACACAGCTATACACAGAAAATATTCTCTTAAAACTCATTAAAATGATTTTCATATCGAAAGTTTACCGCGATAAACGAACACGAACAAATTGTATTACAGAACGTAATTAAGCAATGAGATTAACGCCGCGTTCCATGAACGTTTCGTCTAGGGGGTGTGTGTCCTCTGTATTTCGTATCCCGAGGGCTAGCGTATGTTCCCTTGTGCGCCCGCAAACGGCCGCGTGCAATTACAAGCAGACACTTTGAACACGAGAGCCATCGTTGATACGTGGTTTACTGCGAGTAACCCGTACGACATGCTCGACAAAATTACCACGAAGGATATACGAATGGCGACATGGAGTGGGAGCCGGAGCGAGAGAAACCGGAAAAAAAGGAAACGCAAAGGATACGCGAGAGCAAAATCAAATGGAATCGAAAAGTTCGACGTGAAACTCCGAGATGTATTAGGAATTCCTATATCGGGGGACCGCGGCAAGCTACCAATCTCAAGTTTACGCGTCTAACTTTTATCCTTCTCGCCGTGTATACATATATATTGCTCGCGTAACGTCGCAGAACATATATCAGAAATCACTGAAACATTAATGCGATTCAAAATACGGTGTTCGTAAAACGCGATCGAGAGTAGGCGGTATCAATATTCTAAATTATATAAATATAAAATTAGGTATGAGAAGGGATAATAAGGGCCAGATGCAGATATTAGACGCGACAAACTTGTTCTTACTTATTTGTGTTTTTCCAATTATTTTGCAAACTAAATTTAATGTTGTATTTATATATATAAATCTCCTCAATTTATTATTATAGTTGAAAATTATATATATTTTTAGTTATATTACATTATGTACATTTTATTATATAATGTTACTGCAAGTAATACATTTGGGGGAACGATTAATTAGACTTAATTAGACTTCTATCTCTTTCATACTTACACAAGATAAATTCTTGGAAAATCTCGAAAGGCTGTAACAGTCATGTTCTTATCGAGATCAAAGAGCAACCTAACCTTCTTTGAATATAATATTACTTTAATAAATCAAGTCGAGCTGATCTAAAGATAGATTTGACATTTCCGTTATCGTATAACATACAAAATTTGTCACATCCATAAATATATAAATCTGATTTATAATTTTAACCAATTTTGACAAATATTTGTCACAATCAAAAATAAAAGCAATCTCTTCTCTGACATAAATCAATAA